AATTAAGAAATTTTGCGACCTGAATGATATTTTATTTACTACATATAATATATATTGTATATTGTGAGTATTGTGTTGGATTGTCATTAAATATGCATGAAAAGATTTGTTGCTGCTAAACACGAGAATTCAAAATACAAATATTCAATGTTAAATTGTACCATACTGACCATACCCCCCGATAAAAATTAAACTCAACGACGACATATAAAGACAAACATAGATAATTCAATAAAATGTTAACTAAAACTGATAAGCAAATATACCGCTAATTCTTTGCATTTCTTACTGTCGGGTTTATGTCAAATTTGACCTGGAATTTTTGCAAATATTCGTCTGATATAAATTTACAATTACAAACTTCTTGTAGCATTTAGAATTTAAAAGGAGAGCAATGTTGGTAATCACTTTGCTTTTTATGGGTTATATCACAGTATATGATAAAGATTTATTGCATTTATGTAGAGGAACTGATAACTCACTTAAACTATATTTTTCCCAACTCTATATCTCTTCAACCTGTGTCCGAATTTAATGAATTTAAGCCGCGTCTTAAATACGAATTTAAGTGGAACCAACAAAATTTGAGTCGCGGCTTAAGTTTAAACTTCGGTTCAAATTCTTTTAATTCGGCCTCTGGTGGTATAAACATTGGCTTTTTTTCAAACTGTACTTAGCAGATCTCATGGTTTGAAATGTCAAAGTTCTACGACGAAAGATTTTAAAGATGATTAATAATATTAGAGTTTGAGGTAAAAACATCAGTCCTTTTACATAAAAAAGATTGCCCTAAACTCTACAATCTTCAAAATCTGCACAAGAACAAATGTTTATGATTAGCCATTACATTTTATACAATTATTTCGAAAATACTAAGTTTAACTCCTGATTTTATCGGGACATATCAACCAAGTCCTTTTTTAGTTAAATAAGTGCCTGGATCGTCACGGTTAAAAATAATATTTTTATCAAATTCATGTTTGCAAAATTTTCCTCATGGTTCGTGCAAAATTGACCTTGCAGCATTATGTTTTGCAGAGGGGTTCGAAGTGTAAAGATGGCGGCTGATGAGTTTTCTTTTCGGAGATTTCTTTTAATATAAGAAACCGCGCAACCATTGAAAACTGATTATAGTGTGGTCAAAATGGTTTTGAAGTTGGGGCAGGGTTAGATATTCTCCAGTTCGAGGTTGAAATATTAAATCCATTGAATCCTGATCTTAAAGGGACTGTAAGCATAATTTCAACTGACCCTCTATGTAAAGATGGCAATGTCCGATTTACAACGGTACCTTTAAAAGCTTGGTCTGGTCAAGTTTGAATTAGATATTCATGTATTTACGGAAACTCCGCTCGTGACCAAACCTGTGTTTCATAGAATAGAAAAAAACCATATTTTTCCTGTGATTAAACATTTTTTGAATCCATTAAATCATCAAAAGATATTTTTTTTTCAAAAATCATCATTAAAATGGACATATGAGCAATCTAACAGACACTAAATATTGTTTCTAGGGGAATATTTTCCTGAAAATAGATTGGTTTTTTTAAAAACGTAATTGTTTTAAACCTTAATCTCTTGTCTCGTTGTTAAGCCGTGTACGTGCCTCCTTTTTATCGTTTGTCTCACGTTTCTTAACTTTCTCGCTAATTTAATTTTAGATTTGAATTTTTTTTTTTTGAGTTTTAATTACTCAACTCCCGGATGTTAAGATTTTCTCTTCTTATCCTCTTACTTCACTTCCGGTTTGCGGAAGCGTGGGATTATGCGATCAAGTGTATAGAGGGGGGAAGGGTTAGGTGGAGGTGGGGGGAGAATTTGATTCTTGACATGTTTCTGACATATTACCGTTCAAGCCCAAAAAAATATTTAAAATCCATGGATATAATACCGTTTTAAGCTGCCATTTTTTTTTATCTTGGCTTAAAGAACAATACAATCCTAAGATTACATCTGCTAAGGTATTTTAAATAATTCTTTTATATTTTACTCATGAATTTTGATCATATAAAAAAAAGATTTCCACTGTCTGTTCTATCTATCGATCATATTTAGAATATATATTTAAAACAGGGTTACCATCAAAGAATGGAAGTTTTTATAACGCTACAATATTAGTTTTATTTTTATTCATTATCTATAGATATATGGTGTGGAGATCAAAGACGACTTCTATACACCATTTTTAAATTCGCAGTTTTGTAGGGACACCCTGTACTATGTTATCCAATATCCATATCAGTCATGCAATTTCTATTTCTGAGTCACCTAATTATCTATCATATTATCTTATCAATTATAAAATGACTCCCCTAGATAAGCTTTAAATTGAACCAATCAGGATTATATAATGAAGTCAGATTTTAATTCAAAATAAAACTAATTAACATATTTCTGGAGTTATAACATAAATAAAATTTTGTAGTATTTCCGTAAGCAATAAACTTATAGGGAGTTTTAATTAATTTTTCATCGGGGGGGGGGGGGGGGGGGC